GTGCCTATCCGTTGAGGTCAGCGAACAACGACCAGTAAAAAATGTATTATGAACCCTGTCTTGAATTCAGAAATGAGATAGTTGTTTTCAACAATTGACCGACTACTGTATGTGGTTGAGACAAATGCATTGCGGAGGGGAAGGGTCACTGCATGTTCTAAGCCAAACAGATCCTTTCATCTGGCCATCTAAGGATGTTATTAGGATGAAGAAAAGTGAAAAGCAAAATGATTGGCTTCATTTGATTGGTAACTTTTAAAACTGCGTCAATGTGATATTACTGAGACTTGCATGTTTATGTCGTCATGTAATAAGGCATGTAATATTTTCATGCCGGTCTGGTTGACCCGCATGAGTAATGGTGCCCCGTTTGCTTTCTGATCTTAATCGGTGTTGTCTTTCCATCTGTGACTTATATATGTAATACATATGGATATTTGTATATGGTTTGTTTAATCTTTTATTTATTCTTTGAATTCACTGTTGCGTGGCTTAAGGGCTGAAGGGTCTATTACAGCTGTAGCTATTGATCCTTTATCGTTGATATAATTATGCGAATTAAAGTTCAATATTTGTCTGCTGGTAGGTTTGTGATAAATATTTGTTTTTAACTGTTACCTGTTTTGTTTATCAAGACGAGAAAAACTCAGGTTATCTCCTCTTAAATAGTTAGCACTTTATGGGAAAAGGCCATTTGCAAAGTCGAAGAATGATGTTTTCTCACTTTTGGGATTGATTTGTCTGTTAACATGAACAGCCTGACAGCAGTACCAAATTTCTGAAATAAGTTATCATAATTGTAGATAAGAATAATTCTAATTGTTTGTGTATTGTCTATAGCGACCCTATTGATATTTATTGACAATGTTTGAAATACGAAGCGAAGTTTTATCGTTTGTTCCCGTGCTCCTACGAGATCGAAAGCAAAATTTCTTGCAAAAGAGTGATCTGAAAATTTTATCTAACAGTTTATTAAATCACTCATATAATTTATACTTACTAGGCTAAAAGGATAAACCATCATAGTTTTCATAGCATGTAACTGTTTTCCTGTTTGTGCCATAATTATGAGTTCAGAACTTATGTATATAAGAACCCAATTGCCAATTTGAAAACGTCCTTAGGTTATGATCCGCAGTACTTAGTGCAGGATATAACATGTTAGAAACTGCGTTATAAAGTAGTCAAGCACGAACTACCCAGTTTGAGAAACTTTAGTGGTGTTGATGATATCACATAGTCTTGCATATATTCTGTGTAGGGACAACGAAATCTTTGACTAAGGCTGGCACGTTTGCTGGGGAGAAGGTTGCTTCTTCAATTTATGCATAGCAAACACAAATTTTGAAGTTCTGCAATTTTCAGATGCAGTTTAGATGACGTAAGAAACTGTTCCTGAAACTTATCACGATTCCTTTTAAGATTATTAATGAAACTCCTCAGTTCACAGTATGATAAGTGGATATGTATCTCATACTTTGTGTCTATTCCGAGGCTTTACATTAATGAATCATCGTTGAAATAGAAGAATCTACTACACAGAGACACTTATGTCCGTGTATGGCAGCATCCCTCTGAGCTGTGATCGAAAATGTTCCAAAATATGGCTTCTGATCTTATATCACCTGCAGGAATAATGTTTCACAAGATTTTTTGAATAGTATTGTTTTCGGTCAGATCTCTAGAAGATTTGCCTAGTTTTAGTTAGGTCATTGGCTCGTCATCAGTCTTTGAAAAACAACCTCCTATTACACCAAGCTTGTAATTTTTTCTCCTACTGGTTTACCGTACATTTCCGTGATACACATTACTTGTATTGTGTTTTACCCGAAAGTTATTTTACCATACGGATTTTTTCTTCGACAGCTGAACCAGCGGTCCATTATTAAGGGCTTCATAAGCGGTCTTGTCAAATGTTTTGTCAAGCTTCGTTGCATGAATCTAACCAAATAGATGGCACATTTTGTGGCGCGTTTCTTTACCATATTGCCAGAGACGTTAATAGAAATATGTTTATTCTTATCTCCACATTGTTTTAGTTACAATGTCATATTGTGCGTTGTCATTGGTGCCGGCACAACCAACACAAATACTAGTAAACCGATGTATTTTGTTTTT